ACTTTCAGTTTTTTCGACCAGGAGGAAAAATCACCTTCCTTGTTTGGCTCAGATTCTCTCAATAAGAACTTGAATTTATTTCGAAACTTTTTTCACATATATCTGGCTAATGAGAGAAAAAAATGGGAGTTACTTTCAATACTTTTCCTCTTCTCTCAAAGCTTGGACCAAAAAATCCTATGCGATTCTAGGACTAGTGGACAAGATAGATAATTTCCGTCTGATGAAGTTGAACACATTTTGTGCACATAAAGTGTAGTTTTTAATCTATTTTTGTGTTTTCTTTAGACTCCACCAGCTGAGCATTTACTGAATACAAGGAATCAGAATTCGATTCGATTAACTACAACGACATTACTCTTTGTATATTTTGTTTTATTTGTTGCATCGATTTACCTGGGTGCTGCAACGTATTATAAAGGTCAACAACAGGAGGTTGATAGAATTCTTGCCGAATGTGTTCGTGATTTTCCTGCTTTCCTAAATGACACAACAAATTGTGGTGAATGTGTCAGTAAACATTTATTTTTAAAAAGCGTACCAAAATTACTTGTTAATGTACATGTTAAAACTCGTGAATTTGAAATTTGTCAAATATTATTTTTTCCTTTTTTCTATTTCGTCTATTTTATTTCGTTCATCTATTGTTCTTTTTTCGTCTAGTTGTGATCACTATTATTCTAGGTCTATATATTGCATCATCTTGAGCTATTTTTTTCTTTTTCTTTTATATCACATGTCTTTGTTCTTTTGGATATATATATATAAGAAAGCACCCATTTTCCTATAGTTAGTTCGAATGCATTTTGAATACAGAGTTAGTAGGTCGACGGACCAGTTAGTGGTCTCCTTACTTCGTGTTATTCCTGCATATGTATTTTTTCATCATTATTTTTAAATATACATAAATTGCATTGGCACTTTGTTTAATTTAGGTTACTGAGTGTTAGGTCACCTAACTGTCAGTGTATAATCGCTTGAATTATATATTGTCAAAAATGTTGTATAATTATGGCTGCAGGAGAGCAGATGACATCAATATTGATTTGTCTTGTTGTATATCGAAATCGGGGTGGAAGTAAACGGTATCGGCTGATGATAGTTCGAGTTTCGCTTGCACAATGCAAGATTCACGTGGAGGTATTTTAATAGAGTTGACCAGTTGAACGTTCAATGTGAGGTTATCGATTTGTTTATCGTAGTTAGTATAGGTACGGCCGTCAGATGAACGAATAGATACTTGATTTGTGTCATAATTAATTTCTGCTCCATATTTTGTACACCAATCTCCTCCTAAAAAAACAATTTTAATTAGCTTAGTCGCTGACTGAGCGGTGTATGTATCCTGTTTTGTTTAGTAATAATTACACTTTAGTATTTATTTGTTTCTGACTTATTATTTTATGTTTGATTTATTATGATTTTTGGTGAAAAACTACAATTTTTCAGCAGAATGGACTATTCCTGGAGCGGAAAATGTTTTGATAGTTCTGTCTTCCAGAACGAAATCGAATGTTGATATTTTTGATGAATACCTCGAGTTATTGTCTGATTCATTAGGTAAAGTCATGTCAACTAGATCTTTTGTTGATCTTCTGATGTTGTGTGACTTCAATGCTCACTGTAATAAGTAGTGTGATACTTGACCCTGAACACCAGAAGGAGACAAACTATTCTCATTTCTGGACTCTATCACTAGTCAGAGAACCGACTGGATTAGTATCGGAGACTTATCTTAACTTTGTGATTACAAATAATCTGTGCCTTATTGATAGTGTGAGAATTCCTCTGAGGATGTCAAACTCTATACATCCATCAGTTTTTAGTTCCATCAGGCATGTTTTAGAGGCTCTGAAAATCATTTCAAGTATTCCTCGTTTCCTATAAACCAAAATAAATCACAGCTCAGTTACAACACGTCTAATAGAGCTATGAATGCATGCACATATATAGGTCGATATGCTCTACAATCTGGCATTATCGAAACTATTTCAAAAAATGTTTAAAGTTTAGGGTTTCCGGAAAATGTCAGACTTTTGGAAAACGTATAAGGGTCTAAATGACTAGTATATTCGGTATCAGCATTGTTGATTATCTATAATCACCTGTGTTTCATGCAAAAAGTAGGTGGACACTTGGGAATGTTCCCTCGTGAGAATAATTTAGAACTGTAAAGCTGTAGATTGGAATTATTACCGTTATCTATCGATGGATCAACCGAACAACAATGCAATTAAATTTTATGATAGTGATGTTCAAATAAAATGTGACTTGTTGTTAAATTAGATTCAACAATCAGCCGAAAAAACGATTTCTGCTATGGATGTTGTGATACAGAACAGTGGTGGAAGTAAATGTAGTCTGTGACATAAAAATGCTACAACATGAGTTTAGGTAGTAACTGTAATTCTCAATAGTGAAATTTCAAGTTTAGCTCTCTTCTCGCATCATATTTTAGAACCTGTGGATGTTTTCTTGGAAGTTGATACATTTCACAATATAATATTTACTTAATTTTGTACGCTGGATCACTAGGCTTACAGACTGATGAAGAGCGCAGTAAAGTGTGAGAAAACAATGTGAATTGCAGCACTCATTCAGCAATAAAGGACGGGGTGCAATAAGAACGAGGATCGGCCCCATTTCAGATCTTCTCGAAAGGTATCTAGAATGAAAGAGCATACAGTCTTATGGGGTTCTATAACCTTGGTTCGACTTCGGACCTCATATGTGTCAGAAAATCGATCAGCTCTCAACAATAGCTCCGGGAGCCCATTCCGAGGCGTTTTTCGTAATTTTCTCAGAACACAACA